AACAAGCTGTCCAGACAACCTACAAGTATAATCAAGTTTGAGAAGTAGTAATAGAGTAAATAGTAAGACAACAGTCTGGGCTGGAGATGTGGCTCAAGCAGTAGGTAACATGCTTGCCTGGCATGCGCGGGGCTCTGGGTTCGATCCTCAGCACCATATAAAAACAAAATAAAGATGTTGTGTTCACCAAAAACTGAAAAATAAATACTAAAAATTTCTCTCTTTCTCTTCTCTCTCTCTTTAAAAAAAAGACAATTGTCATACAAATAATTCTCATTGATGATTTGTCTTCTATCACTTTAGGATTAGTTTTCCTTTTTTCTACCTTGATAAAACAATGAGCATTCTGAAGTATGTACTATGAGATTGCTAAACACTTTAGAAATTACTTCATTTTAATTTTCACACTATTGTAATAAGGTAGTTTCAATATTATAATTTCATAACTTTTAACAGGAAAAGCTTAAAAGTTAAGCGAATACCCACTAAGTCACAATTATGAAGAAGTAAGGCTATGATTCTATCTCTGATTTAATTTGTGGTATAAATAGTGTTAAAAGGCCATTTCACATGAGTTATTACTATGGATGCAAAAAAATTAAGGTAAAAATGTTCTAAGTACATATTTAAAATGTTTATGAGCCAGGTGTGGTGGTATGTGACTGTAATATCAGCTAGGCAGGAGGTTGAGGCAGGAAGATTTCAAGTCTGAAGTTATCCTAAGCCACTTTGTGTACCTCTGTTTCAAAATAAGAAGTAAGAAGGTCACAGGATCAGTGGTAGAGCACACTGAGGTTCAATCCTGAGAGAAAAAAAAAAAAAAAAAACTTTAGAAGACCCACTTCAATCTACAAATTTGATTAGTTCCTAGTATAGTTTAGTGCCCAAGGGTGCTCTGCCCCAAAGAGATTTGGGCAAGAAGACCAAACATTTCAATAGAATGTGGAATAGATATAGCTAAGGGTTCCTTGTAAAGGCTAACAACCAAGGCTAAAGATGATACAAGTGGAACATCAAAATGACCAACAGGACTCAGCTAAGAAAAGGATACTCCTGGTCAAAGAAACTCAGTGTTACAAAGCAAGAGGTGTGTTTATATGTGTCTGAGAGGCAGTGACTTGGTATTAAATGAATAAGGTAACTAAAGAGACTACAAAAAGAGAATGACAAGCCTAAGATTGGCCCTTCTCTCAGAAACTGGAACTGTATTCAG